CTAGGTACTGCAGCTCTAAATTTCTTTCATCAAGGCATTTGAAAATTGTTGAATTCTAAATAATTTAACCAAGTTCTTAATCAAATGATGAATAACTGAATAATGAAAATGGTTCTTTTTGAAACAAATCCAGGAAAGTTTGTAATCATTCTTTACAGTTTAATGAAGTTCTGGTGAATGGAATTATGATATGATTTGTGAAGGCAGATAAAATTACCTTCTAAATTTGCACAGGTTTTCCAAATGAAACAGTTGACGAGAATCAAACCAACAATTACAAAAACAGGAACTGAAATTATTTTGATTCTCTTTCTCACCTTTCACTGCTTCATGTTGATTTCCATGAGGGGAAAAAAAAAAGAAGAGAGGTTAAATTAGAGCTAAAACATATATGCAGAAGATATAACAATTGGATGCTTTAATTGATATCAAATTAAATTGGAAAGTGTAATTTAACATCAAGGCTGGATTGGAATCTCTATTTTTCCCTTTCCTTTTTTTTAGCAAGAGGAGGGGGGCTGTCAATGTTAAATTGAAATGCTCGAACAAACTTGAAGCTCATACCTGATTCAGAACCAGATATTAGGATGCACAGATCCTACCCACCATCATGAAACAGTTTAAAATCAATCAGATCACCAAACCAAATGGCACAACCACTACCTTTCTCTCTGATATCCAAGTGCCTGTAGACCATACAAGAGCAGTTCTACAAGCATTTACTTCTGCATTCCTTCAGATCCAAGCTTTTGTTCACCCAAGAGTAAGTTGTATCTGGCAATTTAATACGATTAGGTTTAAAAAATTGATCTCCATTCTGGCAATCTAATGGCTTATTCTGCACACACCGTTGAGACCAGTCCCTTGAGTTCCATTTTTGTGTTGATGTGGGCTTGAATCCTTTCAAACATTGACAAAGTGGCAACTCAGTACTGTCACAAGTCCCATACACACCACAATGTCCATAGTTGTCACAGATGCCCCTCGGTAGATAGAAATATAGGATCCAGTTTCTAGTTTCTTCATTCCATATCAAGCACTGACCCAAATAATTAGTTTGGTTTATAACAAACCTTGAGATCACTGATCTTTGATGTTATAGCTGAAGTATATATCCTCCTCATTTGAGATAAAGTTCAACTCAAAAACTGTAATAGAACTTGATTCAGCCTCACCATTATATCTGAGACCATTCCAAGGTCCTGATGGGAAATACATTTTGAAACCCTTCAGCATAATAAGTTCTGGGTAATTATTTAGTGCTAGCCCCAAAATAGAGTCTCCAGGAGATGGATCATCTGGGCTCTTCCATTCTGATAGCTGTCAATGAAGACCAGTTATCAAGTCCCACCCAAGCTTCATACTTGGTAGTAACGTGTCGGTTGGATAGTCAAAGCTCTGCCACAAAAATATTTCTGAGTTGCCATCTTTTTCATCTCTCAGGACAAGATTTCCAGAATCCATGATTAGATTTTGAGTTGTCAATGAAGAGTCGCATGACTAGATTTTGAGCTTCTTTGTTTGAGTTTGATGACCAAAGAATAGTCTTGTTTTGACTGGTAAGAACAAGAATGCCTGTGCTGTTTATCATCAGCAAACCAGATAAGTCCATGATTGGATTGTCCGGATTTGCAACCCACACAATATTTCTGATTGAGATATTCTTGTACCAAAATTTCAAATGATGGTAAAATTAATATTTTTAAATAAAAAAAAATTAATATTCTTATCTTATACATTTTATTGCGGAATGATAACATCCAAATTTATCCTTCTCCTCAAAGTTCGACTTTTTTTACAGAATCAACGTGTTGGTTGACTAAAAGCAACTCTGATCTAAATGGGACCCAAACTTGGGCGCCGAATCAAACCCCAATTCCAAGGCAATCAGATTTTTCCAAAAGAGACCATGCCCCAGGCCATTCCAGAAATGGGCTTTCAAGACCTTTCTGAAGAAGAAGGAGAGCTACGTCATTGGTGAAGAGATCAATAGAGGAAATAAGATGGGCTCACTTGATGCGGAGATAAGTCCAGAAGAGGAAACCCGGAATGGCCCATGACAGAGTATCCGCACAAAGAAGACACGCCCAATGCCCATTGACCTGATTGAGAATTTCACCCAAAAAAAACGTTTCTTAGATCATTGTTGCCCAAGAGACCTGCAATTTTCATGACTGAAAAGATGGAATACACCCACTCTCGACATATTGGTTCCACAAGGGAGAAAAAAATGGTGTCATTCTTTAAACATTGTCATCGAAGAAGATTATGGTCAAAATCCCCTGTTTGTTTCGTCTTCCATGTACCAAGACCAAGAAGCTAAAAACATCAAAATTTAACGTATGGGGTACCTATAATATAACTATGCAAATGTATTAAAGGAGAAAATAGTTGGTATAGTCCATCAAACAGGGAACATAACTTCCTGGTATGTCCTGAATGGCTTGTCAAGTCCACCTGTCATGAAGTTTCAATGGAAATTATCATTTATACTAGTGTGAAAACTAGAGGCATCAGTCTCCTTTTTGCCTTTTGGCTTTCTTCCTTTTTTGCTTTTTTTTCTTCAAGACTTGGCCACAGTGTTTTTTTTTTTTTTTTTTTTTTGGGGGGGGAGGGGATGGGTGGGGGTTGGAAGACTTGTCCACAAAGTTGCCATTGTAGACTGGAACTGTATTTCCTTACTCATTCCTTTCACAATCCTCATAAAGAAGGAAAAAAAAAAATGTATCCCTACAAAGAAGGCGGCAAAAAAATGTAGAATTTTCAACTGTGACCCACTAAATTTTAAACTATGTATTCTACGAAGAAAAAGGAAACTGAGTACCCTCAGACCATTTAACTGAACTAGTCAACCTTGTAATTTGAAGGAAGGCTGGAGACATTATATAACATGCTACACAATTTTCTTAGCTCATTAATGCCATGAAAATGATATCCAGGATGTTTACTATTACATTACATATCTAGCCTTTCACTTTATTTTTAATATTTTTTGTTTCAAGTGATGATGCTTTACCGTCCCTGCAACATTGAAATTGTTACTTCATTTACTGAAACACGTTCATGCTGGCTTGATGAAGCCTCTTCTTCTGGTAGATTCCTTTCGGTGTAAAAACCAGGAAGTTTTGGTTGAGGCAAT